ATTAATTTTGGAGAAGGAATAAGAGACAAAAGTGTATCTGTTATTGAGTAAGCTTCCAGAGAGAAGTAGATCTTCCCTTTAATTATACATTTCCATGGCTACTTTATTTCAAAATGTGTTACCTGGTTTAAGTGTGAAACAATAGGTAGTATCTATTTAATTTAATACTATATTACAATATTATATTACAATAACATGTTATAGTGCCTAATATTTTATTTATAATGATACTGTAAGCTGCTATCACTTTACAAATCCTAAAGAGTTTCTGCATCATTCTTGAGACTCAGCTTTGCAATAGAAAAGTGACAAAAGTCTGGATAGGAAAGAAAATTTAAATAAAATACAAAATTAAAGATTTCTTTCATAGGATAGTGACTGTTAGAAGTGCCTGTTCACTAAACCTGATGAGTCTCTTGTTAAGTCTTATTTGAATATAGATGGTTTGGGTTTTTTTTTTAAGAGTAAGTCTTTTTTGAAAGAACAACAGTATCTGTGATAGATGATATAAAAAAGTCTTAAAGCTGTCACTATATATAATATATGCACCTCTGCCATTCCTTCTTTTATGCTTTGCCCTCTAATTATGATGACAGTTTTTACCTAGGAGAAACCCTCACTTACTTTAAGCTTCAAAAGAGGTAAGGTTAAGCTTAAAACCACTGTCTTTACTGTGGCTGACCTCCCAAATATAAATCCTGTCTGCAGAGAGATGTCTGTGGTCCTCTTTGATGAATTTTGTTTGCAGAGTGAAGTGACAGCCAAATTCTAAACATGAGGAAAGTGGGTAATTACACCTGCCATTTTCTGTGTCATATTTTTAATGTTTAAATAGCTTTTTGGGTATTTACATGTGCAAATGATTATTTAGATGCCTTTTTTTTTTTTTTTTTTAATTTGCACACACAAAGTCTCCTTGTTCTTTTGATCAGCAACAAATGTTGAAAGAATGACTCGGTGAATTATAGGAGGCTTCTGATAGATATTTAGGGTTAGGCCTGGTCTGTATATCTTTTATACATATATATATATATGTATATCTATGACTACCTCACCTGGATAATCTATCAGGCATCAGTGTATCAACATATTTTGTATGACCTGTTTACTTGTTTCTGTTCCCCCACCTCAGTCTCAGTCAACAGACATGGAGAAGTGTGGTGGTGCTGAAGCTGTTGGGAACTTTATTAGAATATTCTACATGAAAATAGTGCTCCTTGTTCAGTGAGAAATGTAACTTGATCCAGAGCACTAAAGCTTATTCTCCACAAAATGGAGATTTAGGGATTGTGATAATAAACCATTTCTGAAAATAAACCACTTTGGTTTATTTTCAACCATTATGATAGATAGATAGATAGATTAGATAGATAGATAGATAGATAGATAGATAGATAGATAGATAGATAGATAGATAGATAGATAGATAAAAGTATGTATAAAATCAGGAATGCTTACATTCAGCTTATAGATCATTTATAAAGTATCGTTCCATGCCATTCGTTTTTATGCAACAAGAGATTGTTTCAATAAATTAAGTAGATGCCTGTTAATGTGTTTGATACAGCCCAAGAGATAACATTAAAATAAAATTCTTTATAATTCAGAATGTTGATTCTAAAACCAGACTCTAGCAGAGCTAGAAATATTGTGACAGTGCTATTGACATCTTATTTTCAGGCTGAGATTTTTTTATAATGCTTCTTCCAAGCTAAGTGCGATTCATTTAGTGTGATTTACTACAAGCAATTCCTGACAGTGAGAGGGAGATGTTAATCCGGTGAGCTTTCCATTTTCCATGTCATTATCACGGTGTCTGCAGAGAGGGGAAGTGCAACCTCCTTTGTTGTGGTTATAGAATGTCAACACAGAAACTCAGGGGTGGCCCATAAACAAATCCATGTGTGATGGCTGAAGTGATAGAAGTTGACTCATTTGGTGCTTTTAAAACCAGAAGACATAATCCAAAACAGTTTTGTGTAATCTTCTATCAAGGGGAGGGTAAGATGTGACTTAATGAGGGATGACAAGGAAGATTGAGGGGGTGTGTTTTTCCTGGTTTTCAGGTGGGGAAAAAACTTATTTTTACTTATTTACTTCTAGGGCAATTTAGATTGGAAGGGACTAATATATTGCTGTCTGCCAAAATACACGTTAATAGACTGTGGATGAATAATTAATACCTGGAATTGGCTTACATAATTTTCACTTTTTCAGATTTGCAGAGGTGAGGTTTTATTTGAATCCCGTAGATGTGCACTCGGGCGCATGAGCGAGCTCTTAGAAGTCTAAAATAAGCTTTTTGGTTTTATTACACTGAAACATTTCTCTCAGAAGACAACACTCACAAATTCAATGGCAAGGGAAGAATGTAAGCCAAGATAAAGCATAGTTGGAGAGAAGCTCTCTGGTTTTGTTCCATATCCCCTTGGGAATTGCTCCCATGATTCTTTGTGTCCATAAGGATGAGTCCTATGTATGAAACAGCAGTAATGCCCTTTATAAAGTGTATCCTACAGTGGCTGTAAACTTTTTAGAATTGGACTGTAGTTTGGCTGGATAGTGGTGGGAAAATAAATGTATGTCATGAATGTGTTTACATTGATACTAAGAATATTTATTATTGTAGAGACCAACTTTTCATTTCTCGGAGAAACTAAAAGGGTGAACTGGGTGGATCATAAAATCTCAAAAGTTTCATCTTCACCTGAAGTATGCTGGGGAGGAAACTGCTTTTTCAGTTACAAAGTAGAGCAAGTTTGGTTTTGTTTTTTTTTTTCTTGGTAAGAAATCCTTCATACTTCTTTGAACCTGGTGCAATTATGAAGCCAGCAGAATTATTTTGGATTCGTGCTGCTGTTACCAACATCAAAATATGACTGTAGGAGTAAAATGGTGCATTTGTGGCACAGCACAGCATGAACAATTGCTATATTTAGGATGTAGGAAGACCCACTCTGTAGAAAGCAAGCACTCAATGAATTCTACAATAGTATAATAATACAAAGGAGAAGGAACAAAGAGGGGAAAGATAAAAGGTGTACGTTTGACATGAGCATCAGGAAATAGCATAGTTTGCCTGCACAATAGTCCCTAAGGGGAACTGAACCAAATATCCTTTTTGCTAACTTTCCATTTTAATCAAAAGTCCAGGTACTGACTGCTCTTGGAAGGTGAACCCCCCTGTGACAATGTAAGAAATTCAGGCACATTTAATCCCTTCCCACAGCATCATCCCATATTGTAGTGCACCCCTTGGGCTTAAATTGTTTTAATGTGCAAAGTTTTTCAGGACAGTTCTCAAATGCTTTTTTTTTTTTTTTTAGGCATTCAAAGAGAAGAGAGTCGCTAAATAAAATTCTGCAGGCTGTTTTCTCCTGGCTCTGTCAACCATTTCAACTGCAATTTTCAAAAAACCATTTACTTCTTTCATGATGTATTGTCCAGGCTAAATGCCCGATTCAAATCTCATACCCTCAGTCAGGGTTCAAAACAAAGTCTTGAAACTAAAATGCAAACTTAGAGAGGTAAAAAGTGTGGTGGGTGAAGATGTGAGTGTGATTCTGCTTTCCCACCAGTGCAAATCCAGAGTAAAACCTCAGCTGTGTGGAGCTGTTTGTAAAGGCTGATGCTCACACAACCCAGAGCAGCAGCAGAGACTGAGTTGCTGGGAGTTATTAACTCACCTAAGAGTGCTTGAGCGTCTCCTTGAGATGGACCAGAAGTAACTTATTTTTCGGCAGCCACAAAACTGAATCTACTTCCCTCTGCGGTTTCGCGTAGAAACCAAAATGCAGAAGCAAGAATTTCCCCGCATTGAAAAGGTTTTTTAAGTTAAAACTGTCAAATGAGATTTCGTCTGCAGCCGCTTATTCAAATGAAGAGTTCCATTCCTTGTAAACTTACCCTGACATTCAAACTTTATTGTAGAGCTGGCCATGCTTTCTTCACTCTGGGTGAATCTGTCTGCTTATGTCACAGAATTTAAAGAAAATATTTTTAGGTTGAGGTCCAGTTGGTTGGTTGCTTTTTTTTGAGACTGAAATTTTTGCCTTTTATTATATGTGATTTCGTTTGATTGGGAATGTTTCTTGTTTTGTTGTTTGTGCTATGTGCACTAATCTGAATTGTCTTATGTTACAAAAGGTTTATGTGCCATGTAAGTCTCAACCGCAAATCTTCAGGGAGTTTTGGGGCATGTCAGAAGACATAATCATAAAGACATCACCATAAATCCAAAATCAAAAAACCCAGACCAGGTTAAACATCTCCCAGAACACCTTTTACAGGAGCAATTTTTAACTTCTAGTGCTATGTCTAAATGTTTAGCATTTCATGAAATATCCCAATCAAAGGATTTTTCAATGTGGGATTTATGATGTGGCTTCTATAGAATGTGCTGCTTTATGATACCTCACTGGTATTTTTTCGACTGTTCTATGTTATTAGAATGTATTGGCAGCAAGATTAAATTGTTAAAAGTAATGGTACTTCATCAGATTATTTTTTTTTTCATATTGACAGAGGAGGTTGTTTTGGTTGCTTGCCCTTCGCTACTCCTTTTAGATAGATCCCTACCCTGTAAAGTTTCAAGACATATAAAATGGTGTCTTTACTAACATATTTTCAAAAAAAATTAATCTGAAAATATTCACGTTGCCTGACGTATTTCCACACGAAGAACGGGATCACTCCCTGTGACACAACTAGAAAAACATGCAGCATTCATTTACATAAAACATGAAAATCTTTAATTTAAAATACCAGCCCGTTTCCTCATAGTTTTTTGGGTTTTTTTTTTAATTTACTTTTAGAATGCAAATAAAAACCACTACTGTTTCTTTTCCTTTTATTGAGAAGCAGACTACTAACATATGCTTTTGACTTTCATTTAAAGTAAGCACAGCTTTTTCCAGCAGAAAAAAGAGATTTCCCACTGAACGGTTGCCTCACATGAATTTTTTTTGTTTTGTTTTGCTTTCCTGCCTACCCAATTCTAGATGCTGCACAACAAACACGTGATGGTTCGCGTTGGAGGAGGCTGGGAGACTTTTGCAGGGTACTTACTGAAGCACGACCCGTGCCGGATGCTGCAGATCTCCCGAGTGGATGGGAAAACCTCTCCGATCCAGAGCAAGTCTCCAACCCTCAGGGACATGAATCCAGACAATTACCTGGTTGTTTCTGCCCATTACAAGACCAAGAAGGAGATTAAGTGAAGTAAGCTTCTCATGTGAGTGGGGACTCTGTGTATGTAGGTCCAAATTATTTTCTCAAGTGTAGTGAATTTAGTTCATGCTTTAAAAGGACTTTGGGAAATTTAAGACAGACTGGAAATGGCAACCCATTTTGAAGATCTTTGAACTGTAGAACTATTTATTTCTAGTACTGTATCTTTTATAGCAAATTACCCTTGATAGGCTAATTACTACAATCAGATAATAAATAGACATATATTTTTAGCCTAATTATTACTCTTTAATATGTGAATGTATACTTAGAGCTACATAAAGGAGCGGATCGTGTTAATGGAAGAAAATACACAATACACTTGTATGAAAATCTTATTACTTCGAATCCTTGACTCTTAGGCTAGTTGAAAAATATATATGCAGGTGGAAAATGAATATTTGTGGAAATTATTTGGTAATGCCTCTTGATGTGAAATAAAAATTGACTATTTTTACGGTTTGCAACCTTTTCTTAATCAGCAGAGTATAACGGCTCATTGCATGCCAAAAGCCATTACTTTAAATAATAATAATAAAAAAAGAAAAAGCCCAAGAAATCCCACCCACCACCACCTTTTTACTCTTTAAAGCTGTGTTAGAACTGTGTGTAGATCCTTCCTGTCTTTCCCAAAGTGGCTCGGTATGGAAGCAGCGGGAAGCGCTTCCTCTGCCAGGCGATGGAGCTGGTGGGTCACGGCAGGGGGGTGATGTCCTGCAGCCCACCAGGGGAGGCAGTAATAGATGCACAGCCCTTGGACCCAAAGAGGAGCTTCAGAAGGTGTGAGTCCCTCCAGAGCCACAGAACACTGCACTGTTCTTGGACATGAGCTTTCCCTTCCTTTTAGTTTTGTTGGTCATGCCAAATGTGAAATACTCGTCAGCGGAGTGATTCACATTCTCATAAATCATTCACACACCTCTAAAGGCATATGTGGGCTTGGTTCATTATTTTGGCTACTTTTCTATGTTTATATTTGGTAATTTATGTGCCTTTTAATGTCCTAGAAAAATAATTTTGTAGGATTATTTCAGTGACTGTATAAATTTACAAATGAAATAAATTTTTTTTAAAATACTCCTGCATTTTGAAAAGTCTCATTATTTGTAATGGGTCATCCTCACTTTGCTTCCTACTGACCTTACTGGATGCTCACAATATACAATACTGCTTGCTGCCCTAATAATGAGCTACACAAAGAAAGGGGATAGCACAGAAATACACAAATTTTATTGAGAATTAATTTTCCTTTGCAGGGAAACAAAACATTCAAAACTGTCCTTGGAATTTATTTTTTTTCTTTAATACTGACTAGTATTTTTCTCTATTTTCTGATGTTTAATTTTAAAACGTGGTCTTACGATCCGCTCCCATGGTCTTTAAAATCAACAGCAGAATGTCTGCAGGTTGGACGGGATCAAGACCATCTTTCACGTTCCGTGCCCTATTAAAATCAGCATGTTGTATCTCACTGCTGTGGAACCAGACCCAGCTCACCATCTGTGTAAGGTAGGACTTATTGCATCTGACTGCACTGGTGTGGGTGTGGATAACAGAGCAGGAAATTAAAGCAGGTGCATCCATGAAGCAAACAAAATTTAAACCATGCACTAAGCTGGTTAACACTGGAAGAAGGGGTTGGAGTTAAGCGTTGCTGGTCTGATAAGTGGCATTTTTTTTAGTGTGTTAGGTCCTGTAGCAGTTTAGGAATTGGGCAATTTGTTAGGAGCCTTAGGCTCCTAAATAAATAAGGCTCTTATTTATGAAGCCAATGCTGAGCAGCAAAATCTTGCTCAAAGAGGTATAGCCCTTGTTGCAATGATGGGGGCAGAGCAGCTTAGATCATTTTCCATGATGAATGCTGTGTAGTGATTTATCTAACTCGACTGTCCTGTAACATGCCTGAATTTGAGTGTTGAGGGGAGTTGGAACTCCTAAAAAGTTTTAACTCATATGAGCTGCAACAAAGCCTCTTCTCAAAGGCCTTGTAGACCAAACCTCATGGGAGCTCCAGCTGGCTGTGAATAATCTGTGCTGAACTTCAAGACAGATAAATTATGGGAGGTTACTTATAAAAACCATCATTATTGTGTAATGTCAGATATGCCTCACCGTGCTGGAAGCCATTCAGAATTAGTTTGGAAATGTAACTGTTATTTAGGAAGTAGCTTCTGTCACCTCACTGTTCATGTATTACCTGGAGATTTTCTTCCCAGTAGGATTATTTACATCACTGATTGAGGATAGGTTTTTTTCATACCTGTATTATAGTGATAATTGCTCCTTCCTTTGCATAACCACCATTTTTATAACAGCAATTTAGAGAAGACATGTAAAATCCACGGCTCAAGGGCTGCTGGTGGGGCTGAGAGAAATGAAGAGGCAGTATGTGTAGGGGGAAGGCACAGCAAGTTCCCTGCAACTTACGACCCAACACTGAATTCATTACACGTTTGTTTCAGATCTGGAAGATGAGCTGTTTGCTGCACTACAACGTTACAGATGCATCTGATGGAAATGCTGACAAGGGTTTGGTTCTTTTTGGGCTTACCTGTGCACTGTGGTGCTGCCCGCATTCGTGGAGGCACTGCTGCTGCGTCTTCCCAAAGCTCGGGATGTTCTGCTCTGAACACCCTGTCTCTGGCATAAATCAGTGTATTTTAATATGCAGTAGCAGATGGTTTCACTTGCTGTTACTCAAACAAAGACAATCCTATCACAGCCATGGAGAGTCAGCCTTTCATTCCAGCCTACCAGCACCAGGCTTTGCCTGCCAGGAGTTTCTGAAGTGACCTGCAAGATGATGCTTTCAGAAGGTAAGAAGGGAAAAAAAAGGCATCGTTGGACTGTCAGCAGTCTCGATAATCTACACGAAAAGGTGCATTTTAACCACCTCTTCGCATGACCTACTGTCATGTTAATATTGAAATTCAAATTTTAAGTTAAGGTTTAGTTTATTTTATTGTAATTCAGTGCATTTTCACTAGACTTTAAAAAAAAAAAAAAATGTTGCTTTGACCAGGTAATAAACTGAAGAGAGCAAGTGCCAGCAACCAAAGGAAACTGAAGGCATTCTTCTGCCAAGGACAGTTTTTTTCAGCCCAGCCATCACCGTATTAATATTGAAAAATCTCCTTCCTCAACCCCGTTCGGAAGGCCAAGCCAGGAAACTCGTTGTGTCAGGACTGTGCTCTCCTAGGACAGCACTAGACCCTACTGAGAGAGGCAAAAGATGAAATACATAGTTCAAGGAGGGGAGGAAAAAAAGCCTCTGCAGTCTAAAGTAGGTCAGAAATGGGGCCAGTACAGGACTGAGTCTGTGCATAATGCTCTCTGGGAAAATGAAGAGCTAGATCCTCAGTGTTTTATCATGTTCCAACAAACTTCCCTCCTCTATCAAGGCAGTAGCTTGAGCATTAGTTTGAAAGTCTACTTGTAACACAAAGTTCAGGTAGCTCTAAATAATCAGTGGTAGCTTCATGTCTGGGAAAGGGATTATAGACACTGCTGAATACAGAGTATTTAGAAAATGTCTCTGCACTTTAACAGCTCCACCTAGGCAATGCAGAAATTTTAGGAAATGAACTGTCCAAGAGAATATGTAGTAACTGTTTTCCTGTTTGTTTTAAAAAATCCCGACAAGGGCAGCAGCACTGCCCTCCTGTGGTAATAAAGGAGAACAACTGGTAATAAGATTTTTAATTTAATGTTTAACTTCCAGAATTCATTATAAATACTTACAGGCTCAAAAGAAATTCACATCAGAAAGTGAGGAGAACAATTATTCGACTCATAATAAAACAGCATTCTTGATCTAAGTATACAGGATCTGTAAAGGTTTCTGTTTTTTAACTAGTCACAAAATGATTCTATTTGTAAGGACTCATCATGAATCTGCTTCTCTTTGTTTTGAAAAAAGGCACTAAATTCCTAAGCATTTCAAAAGTCATTAGGAAACAGAAATGCTGTCACCTGCATATTCAGATATATATATATATATTTATGAACAACTTTCTACATGAGGACTTAAAGAGTTTATTGAAGAGCTTGAAATAAGCATCAAAACCAACACGTGGGGACCTGAGCTGTGCCTAGGCCAGTCATATGCGACAGACAGACAGACAGACAGACATGAACTGACCAGACAGCACACACATACTGACTGACTACAGGTAAGCAGGCCACTTCCAGGTGAGAAAACCCATCTCACTCCTTTGACAGGGAAGCAATAAAACATGCACGAACGAACGAACAAACAAAATTGGCAAAACTTTAGTGTTCAGAGTTAGTTCTTAGGATTTTTACTGAATGTTTCCACATGTTGTCCCACAATGGCAAAGTACTGCTGAGTCTTCGTATGTAAACAGCAAAAAGCCACGTTATGAGTAAGTGCCATTTGGCTGCAGAAACTGGCAAGTTATTGGTGATCAGAGTCAGTCGTCGTCTCTTTGGAAGCCGCGCGTTATCCCACCTGCCACTGAAGACACAAACAGCAGAACACCACGTTGGTATGAAGAAAGGGAAAAGAGAGGAAAAAACCCCAACCAACTGACCCACCGCAAGGTTGTCCAACTACAATAAATTCTACAATAAAACACCTTTTACACCCAGCAGGTGAGGGACAGGGGGCATCTTATACAGACTCCTGCCTCCTGAGTCATAAACAGCAGTGAGGGGGAAAGATGAAGGCTCAGGAAGCCTGAGTTTCAATGATCAGATTGCATTCTCTATTGATTTAGAGAATTTGGTTTTATCCTTAAGTTATTCAGCCTTGTGCGTGACAAAACAGGATTCTCCCAATGAATGTATGGACAGCTGAATCACACTGTTTCTTCCTGAAACTTACTCTCAGCCCTCCTTCTCCTCCAGGACGTGAAGCTGCCATTCTTTTTTCTATTTCTTCCTGTTTCTTTTTCTTCTGCTCTACGGAGTAAACATTCTTAATACCTCGAGAGGAAGCCTGGGAGAAAACACAATTGGGTAAGGCCAAGTTGGCTATTTTTCTGGAGAGAAGACAAACTGCAAGTCTTGGCAACACCGTTTTGTGAACTGTGGTTTGCATGGAAAGGCTGAAACGTTTAGCAATTAATACATCAAGGCAGCCCTTTCAGGATACTGCCTCACACTGTGAGCCATTAGGTAAGTGAGGGTGTTTTGTTTCATACTGTTACTACATCCAAGTGAATATATTTAATGCAACTGCATGTACCTGCTCTGCATCCACAGATGCAGAACCAGAATCTCTGTTCCCAGAAGTCCACAGATTTTTAGTCTGTGGTTTTTCCCATGTCAGGGCCTACTCTTGCCCTCACAAACAGGGCAGAAAAGAGGTTGTGTTAGTTGTGCTAGCCCAGCCTGTAAAGAACTCCAACTTTTAAACTGTGATCCGTGAGAAATAACCTGTGTGACAGTCTACCCTTCAAACTTCCAGAGGGTGTGTGGATAGCAGGAATACGGATAAAACCTGGTAACTGCTTCACATCCTTGTGGTAACTGCCTGTCTTTTAGGAAACTAGTCTTCCAAGTGAGTCAGGTACCCAAACTGTCTACAGCACCCTAAAAGGAAGAACAGCTCACATGACTTCAGGCTGGATAATGAGCAGTGAAGAAGCATGTTCAGGAAAACACTAGGCAGAGAAAGACATCTCCATTACCCAGCATTCAGAGGCTAAAATGCTCTCAAAGATAGTAATGAAAAATCCTAGGGGATGTTTTATCTCTTTGTCTTTCAAGAAAACAAAAAAAAAGTAACAGAGGGTGGTACCTCCAGTTTTCTTCAGCAGCCTAATGGGTCCTACAAAACTTCAGGCCATCCAGAACCCAAGTTGCTTCATTTTTCCTTTCTTTTTAGTCAGGTAAGAGCTAGATATTTCCTACAGTTATGCTTAAAAACAGTATTGAACTTGAACTTCCAATTCTTAGGTTGTTTTTAATTACCATAGAACTTCTCACATCCAAGCAAACTTAGTTACCTTGCAATGGTCTTTGAGCACCTACCGAGCTGCAAAACTCTTAACGTGTATATAAAAAAAAGGTATAAAAGACATTAATAATACTAGGAAATTATTTAGTGACAATTCCCACAATCCAAACACGACATCATTCAGTATTCCCGCAGAAGCCCCAGCTATTTTCCCCATAAAAGTTATCCCAAAGTAATTTGAATAAATGGCATTTTATCAGACGTTACCTCCATCTGCCTCTTTTCAGCAGCTTCTGCTAGCTGTCTTCTTTTTATTTCCTAAATAAAACGTTAAAGACAGTGAAATTCTATTCCAGTGCAGTCTGTGCGTTCTTTTTAAAGTCTTAATTTTTAAGCACGACTCAAATCTGTAATGCGAACTGCCACTAAATGTCAGCCTTAAGTCAGTTAGCATCATCCCTCCCTCCCCTGCCAGTCGGCAAGAACGAAGTGTGTTTTTAGTGACTAATACGCCAGAAGAGCAGCTCTGCTGGCACATTTAGCGCCCAACCCCACCAGAAATCGTTGTTCAGCCGCCTGCATCGCGCCTCCACACTCCAAAAATCCAGGCTGGGGTGAGGAGGCACGCAGTACGCATCCTTTCGGGAACCTGGAAAGGGGAATGAATACCCGCTCCTCCAGGCCAAGCGGGCTCCCCCTCTTCTCTCCCACCAAATTCCCCAGCCGAGGGATGGAGAGCTCAGAATGGGGTTCCCACCCACCCAGCCGGGGCAAAGGCCACCCGCTGCAGGGCAGTGAGAAGCCAGCACTGAAGAGATACGCTCGATTCTTATTATTTCTCGCTAAAACGTGGGTCGCACTGGCCACGATTACGCACAAACACCCCTCCCGTGAAACACCTTATCCCCATCCCGGCCTCCGCGCTCCCGCACCGGCGGCCCGTGGGTCGGAGCACCGGAGGGCGGCCCCGGGCCCGCGGCTCTCCCCACCCCAGGCCGAGGGCCGAAGGACGGAATTCCCTTTCCCGGGCACAGCCGCAGCCGCAGCAGCAGTGGCAGCCACAAGGCCCTGTTTATTTTTCCGCCGAGGGCTGCGCGGCCGCCCCGCGGCGCGGCCTCCATGTCGGGCCGGGCGGTCACCGCCCCCCTCCCGCTGGGCGGCACCGATAAACAACCGGGAGGAGGAGGAGGAGGATGAGCGAGGTGGGGAGGGTTCCGTCCCAACACTCACCGGGTCGGGCGTCTCCACCACGTCCTTGGCGGCGTCCCCCAGGCAGGGCAGGCACTGCCCCATGGCGGGACCGACCGCCCCGCAGGCCCCGCGGCGGAGGCGGCCGCGCCCCACCCACGGCCCCGCTCGGCTGCAGCGCCCGCCCCGCCCTGGGCCCGCCGCGGGGGCCGGGCCGAGCCGGGCAGGGCAGGGCGAGATCCCTGCGGGAGTTAATTAAAAGCGGGTCGTTCTGTGGCGGCAGAGGGCCTGCGGTGTGATTGATTGCGCGGCCGGGGCCGGGCTCAGGGCCCGCTCGCGTTGCCCGCCCGGCGCTGCCGGAGTGGGGCCGGCCCGGGCCGGCGTAGACATTCGTGATGTCTCTTCTGGCTGTGGGGTGATGGATGGAGTTAAACCTAGAGGGGGTTCAGAATTCTAAGGTGAAAAGCAGCTCTCTGGACGGGCTGAGGTCGACGCGCCCCCCAGTACAACGATAAACATTTGCTCAGAGGAGCAGGACGGAGGGTGGCACGAAGTGGGGACTTCGTGCCCCCCCCCCCTCCATTCTAATCCCAGCAGAATGGGAGAACACTGCGGTACTGAGACCATACAGTACCTGTCTGATAAGGGAGAATCGAGATGTTCTGCTGCTGAGGCCAACAACCACGTCGAGCCCCCTCCTCAGGTGCCAAACCGCGACTGCCACCCCCCTCCCATTAGGTGCACCAATCCGAAATAGAAGGTTTTTATGGCTAGAGCCACTCAAACTCCACCCAAACATAAAGAAAATAGTATAAAAGTAAGTTGGGGATAGGTGGAGAGTGGGAGAGGATCCCCAAAACTGCTGGCATCAGTTGATGGCCTAAGTCCATATTCTCCCCCCCACCCCAGAGGGACACCTTGAATTAGAAATATACTCCATGTGCATTAAACACTGCTCTTAGGAATAGACCTTTTGCTTGTGCTTACCCCATAGCATATTAATCTCGTTGCTTCAGAGCTTGTGCTTGCTTAATATATGTATCAGCTTTAAAACATATTTTTGCGGTGACACCATTACTGACAGCCTTCGAACCTTATGAACCTGTCACAATTTGTATTAATAAAAAATGTTATTCCATAAACTGTTAAAATGAGTCCTTGCAGTTGCTGGCGGTGGAAAACACCTTGGCAGGACCTGCTGAGGGGTCCTGGCTCTGTTGAGCTCCCCCTAACAAGGGAGATCTTGTGAATCTGTTGTTGAAAGGTCTCCTTACGAGGCGCTGACAGATTGTCAGACACCAGGGTCTCAACTTTCCTGGAGGACCTGCAATCAAAAATCTCAACTCTCACCTTTCACGTGACACTGCCTCTTCTGCTATTTCTCCCTCTTTTTCTTAAATAAAAGAAAGAAACCTCTTCCAGTTATCTACAGTAAAATCCAGCATTACCCTGTTCAACAGCATTTCCTGAATTTGTGTTGGAGCATGCACCTGTCCCCAAGGATTATGTGAAGATTGTAATATGTATTCTCCATAAACCATCATGCAATGTCTACCCAGCTTCTTGTCTGCCTCTGATTTTGAATAAAGTATATCTTTCTGCACTTGTGTACTTGTCCTACCATTTATTCCATGAGCCTGTGGTGTCATACATTATTGCAAAGTACAAATTTAAGTTTTTGTGTTTGTTCCCTGCAGCTGTAATTTGGCATTGAATCATTTAGTTTGTGTAGAATCATAGGGTGGTTTAGGTTGGAAGGGATTTTAAAGGCCATCTGGTTTCCAAAGCCCCTGCCGTGGGCAGGGACACCTTCCACTAAACCAGGTTGTTCAAAGCCCCATCCAACCTGGGCTTGGATATTTCCAGGGATAAGGCACCCACAGATTCTCTGAGTAACCTCTGTCACTGCCTTACCACCCTGAACAGCGCCAACTCTCTCAACCTGTCTGTGTAGCACAGATGCTCCAGCACTGCCAAGGTCTTCACAGCCTCTGGACTCCTTCCAACAGGTCCCTCATATATTGGGGCCCCAGAGCTGGATGCAGCACTCCAGGTGAGGTGTCATGAGGGCAGAGCACTGGGACAGAATCGCCTCCCTCAGCCTGCTGGTCACACTGCTTTTCATGCAGCCCAGTTGGCTTCCTGGGTTGCCCTGGATTTCCTGGGGCTGGCACGGGCACACCTCTCAAGCCTGTCAGGTCATCGGGGGGGTGTTGGTGACTGCATTGCTGAACTAAGTACTTCATACAAGTCACAACATTGTCCTGGGCTTTCTGGCCATCCACAATCTCACTGGCATAGTGGGAACCTGATGAGGTAGGTCAGAAGGGGGAGCAGAATGAGGTTCACCTGCTGCCTCTCTTTGCTGATGAGGCTGAGATTGTTTGCAGGTGGGTACAAAGGCTCATAAGAGCAGCTTGGGTGCAGTGCAAGTGCTGCAACCTTCTTGCTGCACAGTGTAGTGTGTTAGGAATTAACCTGCTTTTTTATGAAAGGTTTTTGGTTTTTTTTTAAATGATGTTTATTTCTGGAGTATCAAGGTTCCATTGTTTTGTGGAACCTTAAGTGCTCGGTATTTGTCAGGCTTCAGGTTAGAACTGTTCTCAGCTGCATGCAAGTCCCCCTGTTGGATGTGTTGAGATTTAGAAGAAGAAGATTGACAGAACTTTCTTGGACAGAACTCTGCATGGAGAGAGAGAGAGAGCACAGCTTTCTGAAGGAAGTGGGACCTGCTCAGATACGTACCTGAAAAGGTGAGTCTTACAGGCAAAACCTCAGTTCTTCTCGTGTGCCTACATAATACAGTCAGAAAATTGTGTTATGAGAATTAGCAGGAACCATAGTAACAACTCTGTGTTCTATATCAAAGGGTTTATATGTTATCACTGATGGTTTTCAAAGCTGATGATTTTGTTGCTGAAGTGAGAAGTCACTTAGATTGAGGTCTCTTAATAGCTACTTCTTTTGGGATATCCCCAGAATGTTAATGCCTGGTAGCTCAATAGTAACAGATGATAGATGTGTGTGTTTCTCTTGGTGATTTGAGGGCATTTTTGTCCACTTCTCCCACCCTGCCAAAAAATAGTGTAGTGGAATAATAATTTAGTTATATAATTAACTTTAAAAATAAAATAACATTGTCATTAACAGTAGCAGCACATTGCTTTTAAATGGGGCCAGTAGGCTGGTTGGTTTGATTTTTTTAATTTTTTTTTTTTAATTCATCTGATGAGTTGTGTGTAGTGAGTTTTGAATATTTGAGTTAACATTAAATACATGTTGAAAATGTCAACGGCCTATCTAAGCAGTGCATTAGAACATCTGGCAATTTGTTGTCTCTTCACGTGTCACAATTTAGTTGTGGTGACGTTCTTGTAAGTATGGAATTATGCCATCACCTAACTTTTATAAATGTTGATTAGTCTCTAACTCTTATCTTCTTGATATCCAGCAGGTGGTAGTATTGACACTAAAATTTCCTGTGTCTCCCAAATCCATAACCACACCTTCAGTTTACTGTTTTGGTTTGATATTACAGGCAGTTGTACTCTTGCTATTTCATGTAAACCTGGTGAGAGAAACCATTTCTGAACTTATCATGAAGTTATCATGCTTAGATGTTTGTTTGTGTAACTTATATAACATATATGTTATGTTGATAAAGCTCTCGTGCTTATTTAATTATTTAAGAAGTAAAACTCATTCATTATGAAATTATAGTTAGATTTTAACTTGGCACTGTTCGGTTGCTTATTATACCTCTCTTGCAATCATTTTTAATTTTAAACTTTAGGAATCTTTCTTCAAGAGAAGTCGAGAGTCTGTAAGAGTGGCCATGACTCAGTTATAGCTGTGGTTTGGAAATGAGAAGTTCTCGCTCTTGCTATGGGCGGCTCTTAAAGCAACTTTCCAGGAGAAGCACGGAACAGCTTAGTGCCAGGAAAAGTATCTGCAGCATCTCTGGATGTTTGTATAGTTTTTTGTGGCCCTGATGTTACTTGTAGTCATTAGCCACGAGTTTAAATATCAATAGGAAGCATCTTCAGCTAATCAATGCTGTGATTGCCTCCCCTGGGAGCGGCGAAGCCCTGACGGGCGGTGATGTGTGGCAGGGATCCCTCCGGTTGGAGCAGCGAGGCTCCACAGCGGTTCCACTCAGTCAGTCTCGCTTAGGCTGTTCCTTCTCCGGCTGCGTGGTTGCATGTCACCGTCCTTGTGGAGCAGTAAATTAAAGGGCACAATCAATTTCTGGCTGTAAAGGAGTTGATGGATCTGTGTAAATGCCACCTGCAGTACAGGGGAACGTGCTTGTGGAGCCCCGCTGGTTACAGGTCAGCAGGTCAGGCTGGAAGGCAGCGATCCCACAACTCTCCTGGCCTCTTTGGGGTCGTTTAGGTGCTCTATAAAATACATATAATTCAGCCAATAAGTGGTTAGCTGCAAGAAATCCTGCTGCACGTCGGGCATACCAACTAGTTTGAAGTTGGCAATGGTGCTTGTTTTAGACCCTCAGCTGGTTTGTTCTGGCCCCTTCGTGTTTGGGGGGGTTCAAGAGCAGCAATTTGTGTAAAGTCTTCCATGCAAAGCACAGTTAGTGGAGCCTCAGGCTCTGAGTATTGCTCTAAGGAATCGACAAAAATGTATCTCTGATTTCTATTTGTAGCATTTTATTTATATATGGGGAGGTTGATTCTCACCACAAAGGTCGTAAAATCTTAAGGCATAAATTCAGTCTCACCTCAGCACCTTCATATTACTTCCACTGGCATTCATGATAGAATAATATAAGGATCTTTTCTTCTTCCAAATCAAGGTCTTTATTATTATAACAGATTGTGGACCAAGAGAAAAGAGACAGTTTCATGGGATGAGCACAATTTAGTGACTTAGTACTTTGTGTTGTCCTAAACTCTCAGGAGTTCCTTCTGAAAAGAACCTTAGATTTGCCTGACAAAGATTTCTAGGCAGTGACTGGTTTTGGACAATTTAGAAAACTAGCTCTTAAATCCCTAACTTTAGATGGAAGATATTATGCACGTGCATAGTTGAATATTAGCAGTGAAATAATAATAATGAACTTTAACTTTTTCCCTTTACTTTGGTGGGATTCTGCAGAAAATGTAGGGAAGGACATGGGATCTGTAAGCAACAGTTAGATGAAA